AAGAGTGGTGAGCTGATTCATGGTGGATTTCCAGCCGGATTTCCAGCTGGATTTAACATGTTTTAAAACTCATCTGTTTTATAACATTTGGCGGTGGAGAAATGACAAGGGCCACCTGATACTTTGCTTTTTATGTCATGGAGCAGAAGGAGGCTGCTGGCTCACCACAGCCTGGTGGACTTGGCCCATGCAGCAGGGAGCAGGACTCAGGCCAGCCTCGTTCTCCCTCTCATGTCATTCATGTCTGTATTCGTTGGCATTTCTGAGTTACCTGCCCCAAATCACCTTTAAGTGTCATGAGTAGTTGTTACCTCCTCGCTGCCTGGGGTGAGTGGGTCACTCGGCCCACATTCCTCCTGGGCACCTGTAGAATGGGTCTCCATCCCCACAACCAGAGTTGTATTTTGTAGAACTGTCCCTGACATTGGTGAAGAAGCCCTGGGAGGGTCAGGGCAGGAGGCTGCACTGGCTGGCTACTCCAGAGCTGTGGGGATCTGACAGAGCAGGGAAGCAAGGACAGAGAGGAGGGTGGGTTCCCTGGTCAGACCTGGTGGCTGATGAGCTGTGAAGGGAGACGTTTAAGGGTGCTCAGGTTTGCTATCAGAGGCTGCCGGAGGTGTGGTGTTGGAGAGGTGTTGAGGTTGGGAGATGTTGAACTTGAAATGTTTGAGGTGCAAGCAGGCAGGGTTGACCTGGACGCAGCAGAGAAGTCTGGCTATATGGAAAGAGCTGAGCTGTGGGAGGGGAGCCCAGAGATGGTGCACCGAGCAGGGCGCCTCCCCCCGACACACAACCCGACTGTTTTGATTTTACTTTCTGCAGTTGGTGTGAACCTAACAACAACAGTAGCTGTTATGGGCTGGATTGCATTGTCACTCCAGCCAGCTCACGTATAGACAGCTCGCCCCTGTGAGCTCAGCATGTGACTGTGTTTGGACACTGGGTCTTTAAACAGATAATTAAGCTCAACTGAGGTTATTAGCATGGGCCCTATTCCAGAATGCCTGGCACCCTTATTAGCAGAGGAAATTAAGACACAGACATGCAAAGAGGAAAGATCATGTGGAGATGCAGGGACAAGGTGGTCATCAACAAGCCAAGCAGAGAAGCCTCAGAAGACAACAACCCTGCCAACAACCTTGATCTTGGACTTCCAGCCTCCAGAATGAAGAGAAAACTGATTTCTGGGTTTAAGACCCCAAGTCTGTGAGGCTTGGTGACAGCAGCCTGACCACCAATGAAGTAACCAATACTGGATACCTAAGTGTATGTCCGAGGTGGTGTGAACACATGAATAGTCATGGTGCGTGGCACAGGCAACAGCATGGCAGCCCTGTCAGCCTTTAGCTTCCCCCAGCACTCGGGAGGCATGCCTCACCCTCTAGCCTGTCTTTCCACCCGGCTCTGCCCTGCCCCATGACAATCTTTCTCCAGATTCTTATCTGCCCCTTC